GCTCTTTCTCACATACATGAGTGATCACATTCCAGGAAGCAACTCTATCTGACTACACGCATGCACATACACACACGCCCACACCTAAATACGACTGTCAAGGACACTCTACGGCTGTCTCAGGTCAGTCTTTCAGCAGAGCCTGTCTAACCAGCTCTCGCTCGCTTTTTCTCTCAGAGGTATTAAAAGAATGTTATTACCTCAGTGCCTGCAGGTGTACCTGGTACCAAGAGCATTTTAGAGCTATTTTCATCTCCTAAGTGACCAGCTCAATACCATTCAAAACACCATAACATTTCCTAAAAATAGCCAACCATTTTGTAAACAATTGGTTAACCCTTTAAACAGTTGGCTTAGTATCGTGCTATTTATTTTAAAGCATATCACTGAGTAGCTAACTACTACGAATTATTCAGTAACTACAGTGAAACTAACAGAAAAGGTATGTAGGTACAAGAGTGAGGAATGTTGACATGGCCTTTAACACCTCTAACCCAGATTTAACTCATCAGTGATGATTAACTAATGAGGAATGAAAGTGTTACCTATGTTTGAATTCCTAGAAATCGACTCATACTGTTTTCTAGGCATAATGTGGATTTGTGACAGCCTGTATATGCGCTGTATGAGCTAGTTAAATTAAAAAAAAAAATTAACAGAAAGCTTTTAATTACAGCAAGTTTGTTGCTACAAAAATACAGTGTTTTGTTGGCAAATCTTTGCATCTAGTCACATGACATGGTCGCCTTTGAGCATGACCTTACTTTGGAAGATCAGTGCTTTATATTATGTCATGGTCCACTTTGTGAGGCATTTTTTCAAACTAATAGCCTATTAACATCTGCTCACTTTTTAAAACATTCTTAAAATGCCTACAGATTTTAGGATGTGTCAAACTCAATTAGAACAATTAGAAAATGGTGCCTCTGACTGGTAAAATCTGTAAAGCCCAGCATGGGTGTGTGTGTGTGTGTGTGCGTGTGTGTGTAAAGGAGGACTCGGGAGACAGGTGACTTTTGATGGAGCTTTGTAATGCTTTTATTTTTCTTTTCATTATTTTACCCGCACGCTATGCTAAAGTTCAAGTTAAAAGCAAGTGTGTTGTGGGTCAGCTCTTTCAGCTCCATCTCTCTCTCTCTCTCTGACTCACAGCAGTCCCTGAAAGGCCAAAAAACCCGCATAAGTAGGCTGGTGGTAATAACACACAGGTGAGAATCATCACATGTTACCTGACCGTTCAACCCTCAACCCTCCTTCTCTCTGTCTGCAGCCGACGCCCGACCACGCCCCCACTGCAAAAAATCATTTAGTACAGTTGTTGTTGTTGTTCTTCTTCTTCTTCTTTCGGCTGGTCCCGTTAGGGATCACCACAGCGGATCATTGGTCCGCATATTTGATTTGGAACAGCCTTTACACCGGACGCCCTTCCTAATGCAACCCTCCCCAGTTTTATCCGGGCTTGGGACCGGCACTGGGAGTGCACTGACGTGTGCAAACCCAGTGGCCGCGGCGGTGAGAGCGCCGTGGCCTAACCACTAGTCCCCCAGGGATTTAGTACATTTGGTGTAAAGTTCCTTTATTCAGTACCCCCTGTTCAGAATACATTCCTGTGGTTATGGTAGCACTTGCTCCACGCCCACAAGAGACAAACTACAAGAGACACAAACATGAACCTTTGCTTAGTCACGGTGAGTGAGAAAAGAAACTCTTGCTCTTTCGTTTTCAGGAGCTAAAAACTGTTATCCCTTATGTTAATGAGATTACTGTGGCTGGTACCACTTAAAAACCAGGAAGATGGCTTAGGACTGCAATTGCCACGAACAGTTTTGCACTCAAGTCTCCATCGGTGAACAGTTGATAACTTCAAGAAAATAGACTACATGTGAAAACTATAATGAATTTCCTGTCTACACAATTGCACTTGTTGACCATGTAGTAAGGGAATGATTTATAATCGCACTATCCGGTGTCTCCAAGATGAGGATGGATTCCCTTTTGACTCTTAAGGTTTCCTCCTCATGTCGTCTCAGGGAGTTTTTCCTTGCCACCGTCGCCTCTGGCTTGCTCATTAGTTTTATTAATTTATAAATTTAAAATGTACAGACATCCCACCTCTCCCGGAAGTTCCGGGAGTCTCCCGCATATTCATAGTGGCTCCCTGATGCCCGCAAATTAGATACAATATCCCGGAAGTCGTGCGAGTGAGCGAGAGAGACACATGTAGTGATATAAGCCGCGTCTCATTTCGGAGGCTGCGCAATGAGACGCAGCTATAGTAAGTTTTGAATTGCAACAGAATAAGCATCCTCTGATGATTGGTCTCATATGCGCTAAATAGACCAATAGCCGCAATGGCATCTGCTGTCCGAGAGGAGTGTCCGAGAAAAAGAAAATATAAAACTCACTTTACTCCAGACTACACTAAAGTGTACCCCTGCCTAATAGGGGTAAAAAATAATGACAGTGTTGCTCGCTGCACTGTTTGCAACAGTGACTTTTCTATTGCCCATGGTGGGTTAAATGACTGTAAAAGACACGTTGAGGTGAGTTCAGGTCTGTTCATTAGCAGAGCTAGCATTATTTAAACTAGCTGATTACCTGCAAAGTTGAGCAGTTGGCGCTACCTCCCTGAAATGAGTGTTTGCAGGGTGGGATGTCTGAATGTATATCTTCAATTTATATATTTCTGTAAAGCCTCTTTATGACAATGGCCATCTTTAAAAGCGTTATATACAAATAAAACTGAACTGAATTGTTTGGGATTGTTGACATTTTCTTTCCTGTTGAGTGCCCCTGTGACGTCAGTGCGGCACACAACCGCTAACTTCTCGCGAGAATAACAAAAATTTAGCACCAACCAAAAACATTAACAGCAGAATTGCCAAGCACATCAGAACTATTTCAACATGAACGTGTTTAACGTGTTTGAGAGTGAACTTTTCCTCTAAGAACACAATGAGCAGCAGCTTTTCAGCTGAGTTTTTCAGGTCAGTTCAGCTTTAGCGCCCTCGTGCGGTCGATGCGCGGCAGCTGCAGGCTAGTGACGTCATTCTTTGAGCTGAAGTGCGAGTCTCGCGAAGAAGTTTCTCATGTGCTACAACAGCTGCACGAGAGGCTTCTTCAGCTGCGCGTGAACGTGGACAGTCGGACTGCATGCTACAGGGAAACGCATGCTGGGTTACTGCCACACACACACATCCACGAAGCTCCATAAATGGGCATCTTTTACATTTTAAACCACATGACCCCATGTTTTCATTGCCCCTTCCGTGTACTTTTCCATACCGTTAATTTCCGTTTGTAAACTGTAAGCCTACAGTCAGGGTTGCCAGATCTGTGCAAGTATGCCAAGTAACAATCAAGACAGGAGAACGTATTGGAAACTTCCTGTTAGCATCCTGAATTACTAAGTGTTTTATTCCCCTTGTACCATAGCGATTTAGCGATTGTTTATATAAAGCTATAGAGCTTAAAGCTTATATAAAGCCCTATAAAGCTTAGCGTGTTTTTTTTTTTTTTTATTAATGTACAACATGTCATATTTTTAACCATTTAGAGTTACATTTAATGTTGTGGAGTGTCTTATAGACAAATTAATTCCTGTTGTCGCTTACATTATAGCGGCTATAAACACTCGTTCCTTCACCAGAATCCCTTTTTTCTCTCACTTTAAAAAAAAAAAAAACCCCACAGCTTATCATGTTACTACAAAAACTAGAAAAAAGCCCAACGTTCTCTGTCCTGAAGAATCTCCCATAGTGGAAAACTTACTGACTGTTACAAAGCACTGACACTGGAGACTCCTTCCATGTATAAAAGTTAAATAAATGTCCCCTTACTGAAAGCTTAACCCTATCAACAATTATACACTTTTAAATAACACAGTTTTTAAAATTATGCTTAGATTATATGTCGCGTCCAATTTCTAATACAAATTGATAATGTATTAGAAATATGAATATAATCTTGTTATAAATATTAGTAGTGTTGGGTTCAAGACCAAGACCACAGCCAGTGGAGTCCAAGATTGATATAGGGGCAAGACCAAGATGAGCCCAACACCACACATGGCCGAGTCCATGTCAAGACCGAGACCACACACTCAGATGTGTTAATTTGCCTGACATGAAATTTCTCTTAAAGTAACCAAAATAATGCATCTACTTTGTTATTATCATTCTGTACAAATAAGTACACAGGACATTCATAAGAGATGTTAAGCATAGCCCATTCTTCTATCAAGTGCTGCAGTGTAATCTTATTTTATATCATTGCATTATGGAGCAATTATGGTTATGGAGCATGAGCGTGAGGTAAATGAAATGACACAGAGTTTGCTAATTATACAAAAGATTCTTTTTTTCTAAAGAAATGCATCAACACGTAAAGATTTGCAAATCAAATCACATTTGCTTTGATTTAAGCACACAGCAGGTAAATAATATCCATTACAAACTGAAATTTGTTTTGGCTCATACACCTTTCTGAGACCACATGCAGATACAGAACGTACTTGTGCTACATTATTTTGAACATAAGAAAATGAAGTATTTTGAAACATCACTTGAAAAATTACTTGAAATGTATAGGTGCTATACATTATAACCCCACATGCAGAGATAGACATATACATTTTGTACTGTAACCGGAGCATTCTAAAATACTCGTTCATGGAAATGATGTTATGATCTTGGACGGTGTCGGAAAAATATTTCGAGTCTTTGGAAGCTGAGAAGGAGACAAGACAGAGTAAAATTTCACCTGAGTTTATGACAAGACCAAGACCATTGATTTGTGGTCTCAAAACCAAGACTGGTCAAAAGTATCATAACACTAAATATTAGAATATAAACCTGTGATTTGTCCTGTAAATTTAACAGCACAGTGGCATAACAGTGAATCAAAACCAGTCTGGAGTGTATCATCTGTACCTTTAGTGTGTATCAGTTACCTGGGAAGGTGCATGTGGTGTATCGTTAATTAACTTTAAAGGCATATTGGGTGGCGGATGGTGGCTTAGTGGTTAACACACATGCCTCACACCTCTGGGATTGGGGGTTCAATTCCCACCTCCACCCTGCATGCATGGTGCCTGCATGTCCTCCCTGCGCCCCAGGGGCCCCCTCCAGGCACTCCAGCTTCGCTCCCCGGCCCAAAGACATGCACTGTGGGCTGATTGGCATCTCTAAATTGTCCGTAGTGTGTGAATGGGTGTGCGAGTGGGTGTGAAATTGTGCCCGGCGATGGGCTCGCATGCCATCCAGGTTGGCCCTCGGATAGGCTCCAGGCTCCCCAGCACAGAAAATGGCTGGATGGATGGTATATTAGTGGTTCTTAAGGTCCTATTAGTGGTTCTTAAGGTCCTATTATCCTATTACCTTAAATAATTTTTAGATATTAAAGATGTACAAAAGATGGGCTCCTGATAGTACCACCCCAGTGAGTACCTTTATTTCTGTGTATGACATGATATTACATGAATGACATGATATTACATGTGTATTACTGCCTCTGCATTTAATAGCTTACATGTTTGAGTTTCAGCATATTAATAGCCTATATAAATCGTTTAATGCATGGTAAATGCAGGGAAAAAAATTGACGTGTCCAGATTTCGTGGGATATTCACGGACCAGGCAACTCTGTGCACGGCGCGTGATGGAGGCGGGGCTTCGCACCGCACACACGCGCACGCGGTCCCGTTAGTGGAGCTCCAATGAGCGGTCAGTAAAGCGCACTAGGGCTTGGGTTTCACTACAGAACAGAGTTATTAGTTAGTTTGGGTAGAAACCTGGCAGAAACGTGGCGTGAGGATTGAACGTGTGGTCTGTTCAGAGCACGGTGACTTCTGCGTGTTCAGGCAACACAGAGAGAACCTGAGACAGCACGAAGAAAATAAAGCAAGCCAGTCAGAGGGACAACTCCACCCCACCTCCTCTCCAAAAAAAAAAAAAAACTTCACAAGAGGTAATGCTACATTTCTACATTTCTGCTGTGCATGCACTACAAGCCTGCTGCTACAAGTCTGCAACGTGGAAAGGACGTGGAAAGATCAGATTCCGTTAGTGGTATACTTCTGCAAGATGAGAATGAGCCCGAGTAGTTTTCCACTTTTCCTTTCTCAGAGTGAACACGTTTCCACGTTTCAGCTGGAGCATGATCTTCTCCAGGCAGTGCTGAAGTGCAAACTGCACTTATTCTGCATTTCCTCAGGTGTAAACTATTGATCTGCATGCACTCATTAATAAGCGCATTATTTCCACACTGGAAAAAGTTTTTCACAACTTGAAAAAAGTTTACATGACTGCTCTTGTTGGGTTGCTTGAGCAAAAATCCATGAAAAAGTCAGTACAACTAGGTTTAATACTCTTATTCAACCTTAACTAAGATTATTTTTCCATAAACTTAAAAAAAAAAAAAATTAATTAATTTATTAATTTGAGTTAAGACTATCTCATTTAGGAACTGTCCTCCCATATCATTCTAAAAAGTGAACATGAGTGTGTGTTGCATTAATGTAAGTTTTTTTGAGTCAGTTTAATTCTGGCTTTCTGCTTTGCGGATTTTAACTCAATATTGTACATTCTATCAAAAAACAGGTTTTTTTTTTTTTGTGCAGGGTTTAAATTTTGTTATAGTGCAGTTATTCTTTACAAAAAAAAACCTGAAAGAGGCTCTTTGGTTTGTCCCTCAGGGCAAACTTTTATAATATTTTAGAAATGTGTGGTTATTAAAGCAGAATTTAAATGCTGTTTTATTGATTGTTGCATGATTTTGTAGGGAAAAAATGCACCATTTTACAAAACGTTTCCATTTCCAAGATGTTCTTTGGTTTGTTCCTCAGAGGAGACTTTATAGAGCAGCGGGGCTCCCTTTCAGGAACTCTTTTTATTTATTTATTCATTGGAATTTGATTAAATATAAGGCAGAAGTTGATTAATTATAAAATTAAATAATATAAATTATTAATTATAATTTGCAATCGAATGAATTTAGCATCAGTCATTTAACCAGTCGCCAGTCACTAGTCACCAGAATTTCATTTATATATTTTTTTATTTGCATCATTTTATGGGGGAAAAAATGATATTTTACAGAATATTTCCAAATTGTTCTTTGGTTTGTTCCTCCGGGGGAACTTTTTATATCTTCTGTGCTGAACCTATAGAGCAGCGGGGTTCCCTTTCAGAACAGGTTCCTCAGGAACTCCTTTTTTGTTTTTTTGTTTTCTTTTGCTTTTTTCATTGTTTTTTCATTGGAATTTGATTAATTAATAAAGGAGTCAAATCAGCTTTGCAATTGAATGAATTTTGCATCAATCATTTAAATCATTTTTTTTTTCAGATTTGCATAATTTTGTGACAAAAACGCACCATTTTACAGAATATCTCCAAGTCCAGATTGGTTTGTTCCTCAGGGGAAACTTTTTTATAGCTGTGTTGAACCTTAGAACAGCAGGGTTCCCTTTCAGAACAGGTTCCTCAGGAACTCCTTTATTCTTTGGTTTTTGTTTTTTTTATTTCATTGGAATTAAAACTAATAAATCTAGTCAAGTCAAATTAACACTTTAATTAATGACTTTGACTTGAACACTTTAATTAATTTAATTAAAGCAGAATTTCATTTATATGTGCAGAATTTTGTGTAAAAAAAAAAAAGCACAGAGCATTTTCAGAGCATTTCCAAGTCCAAATTGTTCTTTGTACATGGAAAGTTTTTTATAGCATGTGTGTTGAACCTATAGAGCAGCGGGGTTCCCTTTCACAACAGATTCCTCAGGAACTCCTTTTTTTGTTTCAGATGAACTTGGATAATTGTAGAAGTAGCCAAGTCACATTTGTAATGTATGTAATTTAGAGGTGTCAGTCATTAAAGAAGAATTACAGCAATGTTTTTTATTATTTTTTTTAAAGACTTGAAACTTTTCAAGTAAAAATTTTTTGTTTTTTATTATTTTTTTTAAAGACTTGAAACTTTTCAAGTCAAAATTGTTCATAATGGCAGTGGTATCCACAAGGTTTATAGGGGCATCAATAATTTGGTTAAGGACTCTTAGGACTCTTTTTATGACTCTTATAGATGCAGCCTTTTTTTTTATTTGTGTGTGTGTGTGTCTGTGTATGTGTGTGTAGAATGTTCCTTTCAGGCTATTGCAAGTTCCAGTTCACCAAAATGTCCCTCAAGATATGCACTAAAAGAGTGTATATCTAAAGCTTACCACCACCTTGACATGTGACTGACATGTGACTGATTTTGTGCATATCGCATATACAGACCTAAAATCCGTAGTGTTCCTCAAAGCCGCGTAGCTGCATTACAATTAAAGAACGCTTCTATTTCTTGAATCTGAATGACTCCAACCTTTCCTTTGTTGATGTTTTAGATATTCCATGAAAAATAACATAAATTACTGACAATTACAAATCACATTTATGTCAGAAATTATAAATGGCCTTCTCCAAGTTTTCTGTTTACTGGATGACCTTGTATATTAAGATGAATATTTTTCTATCATGTACATTACCAGTCAAAAGTTTGGAAACACTAGATTAAATATTGATAGAGGTTCGTTGATGAAATTAGCTTTTAAGACAAATGTAAATAGTGAAGTGAAAATCAATGGATAAATCTTATTCTGAGTGAAAATAAATTTTATAATCAGTTTGTAATAGTTTTCACCTAAAACAAGTATTTTAAATTAACGTGTTTTGCCAAACAAGAGAAGCAGAAGAAACTGGTCGAACTGTTTCTCCTTGGAGAAATTCCTCATGAAGCGGATTGAGAAGATACCAAGAGTGTCCAAAGCTTCATCGGGAATATTGTTAAGAATTTAATATAAATTCATTTTGATTTGTTTAACACCTTTCTTTCTCACTGCACATTCATAGTGGTAATATCCTCCTTTAAAATAAAATATTAAAAATAAAGAAAATTCCCTTCAAAAGCTGCTGTGTCCAAACTTTTGACTTGTTGTGTGTATAGCCATGTTGCAGTCCACAATAAGTATGTAAGTTTAAGTCTGTTATGAATGCTCGTAAATAGCTTTTTGTTTTGTGCACTTTAGCACAGGTCTAATTTCTGAGCAGTGCAGCTGGCTTAAATTCCAGCCATATATCTAGGTGTTAACTATAGCATACGAGTTCAACTGCTTTAACCTCCGATTCCTGTTCTTGGCTGACAGGAGAGGAACCCGATGTAGTTTTCTGCTGTTGTAGCTTATCTGCCTAAAGGGTTGATGTGTTTTGCAATCTGAGATGCTTTTCTGCTCACCACGGTTGTATAGAGTGGTTATTTGAGTTACAGTAGCCTTCCTGTCAGCTCAAAACGGTCTGGCTGTTCTCCTCTGAGTCTTTCAGATCACGTTTTGATGTTTGATGTGAACGTTAACTGAAGCTCTTGGCTTGTATATGCCTGATTTTATGCATTGTGCTGCTGCCACATGATTGGCTGATTAGAAAAGTGTATGAATGTGCAGGTGTACATGTGTTTCTAATAAAGTGTGTCTTACAGATTTAAAGTTAAATATTTTTTAACAAATGAAACAAGTTTGAAAGCAGCTGGTTTTTTTTATGCGTAGTAAGTGAAGTAGTTAGATGGAAAATTCATTAAAATTCCAAAATTTAGGAAAATTAAATTTTTTTAGTTATATGACATTTCAGTGAAGGCAAAATTTAATCTTATAGTTTAAAAAAACTCTGATATCTGACATCTTTTGTATACACAAGCTCACATAGGCTCTTGATTGGTTAGTGCCACTCTGATTGAAAGGGGATAGAGGAAGGCCATCTTTCCCATCCAGAGATCATGGCCAGTTATGGTCTTGTGGATTCATGGCTGTGGCATCATCAGCTGTAGGGTGAACGCATTGGAAAAAAAAAAATTCAGTTTACTGAATTCAAATGTATACATCGGTTCCACTTAAATGAATTGAGTTACATTAACACAATCTAACCTGATTTGATCATGTATTTTCAAAGTCCTGGAATAAAATCAAACACTCCGCACTCATTGGCACGCTAGATCAAACCCAGATCCCTGGCACTGTGACGCAGCAAGGTTACCCACATGCCACACATGA